CCTGTGTGTATTGGTCCATGTAGGTGTTGATAACTGCACATTGAAATAAAAACACTAGGCAGCTGCAGTTTGGGCCTGCCTAAGTGGTGGAGAGTTTCAAGCCTAAGTCATCATATTTCGATCTAGTGTTCTGTGCTGAGCCACTTGTATGGAGGGCTTAAGAGCTCCTTTGTGTTAACAAAGAAAACCCCATTGAAACCTGTAAAGAATTTATGTGAGTTTATTTGAGCCAAACTGTCGACATATGCTGAGAAGCTCAATGAATTGAGATAATGCTCTGGAGAATGGGTAGTTCATACCTTGTTTTTATAAATTTACCATCAAAAAGAAAATACGTAAGTGGGTTACATGAAATTCATTGGTGATAGATTAAGGACGCGGGATAAAGCAAAGCCTGGAATCCTCTGGGATAGGATAAAAAGTGAAATGATGGACATATGCTTCTTTTGCACAGATGGATACAGGATAGTTTAACATAATTAACAGTTGAAGGTTAACTTGATAACAACAACAATGAGGGAATGTCCCAGTGCCATTTGCTGTGCCCTGAGGGGTTCGGGGGGGGGGGGGCAAGGGAAGTTACAAGTTACCCATGCATTTCGCATATATGTTATCTTAGAGGCAAAAAGACAGATGGGCTCAGTAAAGATCTAAGTTGATCTTTGTCAGGGAAAATACTGGCCTAGGACATGACTACCCACTATAACTTGTTTGTAGTTAAATATTTAGTTTTCAGACCATCGTTTGTGGTTATTTCAGGTCTTTGAGTTTGCACAACAGTCATACAGGCCTTCCCTAACTAGTCAGGTTAGCATATGGTCCCTTTCGTCCTCATTTGTCAGTAGCATGCTACAGGCTTTGTGGTAGTTCATGAAACCTATATTAGCAGCTTAGACATTTTTGTTTTATTCTGAGTTTGTATCTGGATAAATTCCCAGACAAGTGAGCTGGTAAGTCAAACATTATTGTATACATATTAACTCAAATTTTAGAAGACTTTCACCTCCCATGGAAGCAAGATTACATGTAATTCAGTACTTAGAAAATGAAACTACTAGAATTTCTAATACAATTTATTATCCAAAGCTAAATTTCATAACTCTGAAGCACACATATGGACATTGCTCAATTCCTTCTAAAATAACTGACCCTTTTTAAAAAGAGGGACAAACTTTAACTGGGATGCTGATTTTATTCTGAGGCGAGATTGATGTTGGTTGGTGTTGAGGTTCTGTTATTAGTAGGATTCTTTTTCCCATAGGTTTGTAGTAGCAGCCTAGGGTATTGACTATAAATTATCTTGTTGTAGATTAATACTGTGTGTTTAATCAGCTTCCAAGTTGCTGTATGACCTTGATTAGTTTATTATTGTGAATATTTAGTTAATATCTAATACTGCTTTCCTTAAAGATTAAACTATAAGATGGGGTTCTGGTTTTTTAAAACTTGTTTAATAGTTCTATATAAATTTTAAGTAATTTTATCTTATGTGTATACTTGTTTCTACATGTGCAGTAGTAGAATGATAAAAATGAAGATTGTAATAAACATGAATATGTGATGGTATTATTAGGCAGGTTTGCCAATTGGTATGTCCAATAATTGTGCTGTCTTCAGATAGCTTGAAGGACAAATTACTATTGTGGTATTTCCTACTGATTTTTTTATTAAATATTTTGTCCAGTTTCTCTATACACATTAATTTATTTTTATATACATATTAATTTATTTCAGAGAAGAAGGGAGAGGGAGAGATAGAAACATCAATAAGAGAGAATCATTGATCAGCTGCCTCTTGCATGCCCCCTACCAGGATCAAGCCCACAACCTGGGCATGTGCCCTGACCCTGACCGGGTATCAAACTGTGATCACCTGGTTCATGGTCGACGCTCAACCACTGAGGCATATGGGCTGGGCTGATTTTTTTTTTTAATTCAAATTTTCTGAATAAATAAAGTCCTTGAGTACTCACCCACTTTGTCTTTCCACCACAATGCCACAGGGTGGCACTGTTGTGCTTTGGCTGAATGTTTACAAAATCATCTTTTTCTTTTGCCGTCAAATCTCTTATTTTGTGGAATAAATAAGATGCTCTCAAAAGTATATGAAAATGCACTCATATCAGATACTTTTAGTTGTACATAATCAGTTATGTGATTGCTTTCCAGTGATTGTGCTAGGTTGCTTTTTGTGTTAATCAGCTTTTTATTGGCATGCATATTTAAATTTCTTTTTCTTGATTGCCCCATCATATATAGTTAAAAATCAGAGGGCTTGAAGATTATTAAATTGTAACTTGAAGAAACCAACAAATAAAATTACTTATATGACAACAAGCATATCTTTTAAAATTTTAGGCTTTTTTATAGTATTGTTAAACTACAGTTCCGATCCAGTTATATAATGCTGCCTTCCAAATCCAAGGTAGCTAGCTTCCTGTTGTTATTATTTACCCTGTTTGTGCCAGAATCTATTCAGGAGGAAACAGTTCATGATTTATATAGCTATTTTGCTCCCATTAGTTAAAATCTTCAGATATACTTTCATCACTTTTGCAAGCTTGCTTGCTTTACTTTCTTTAGTGTGTAATTTATCAAGCCAGTATGTAGTAGTGATGCTTGCATTTTAACAAGATAGTTTTTATTAAGGGCCTTAAGGAATAAGCATGACCGACTATCAAAGGGATTCATAGCCCTGGGGCTCCTAAGATCACAGTTTAATACTTCAACAATGCTATTACATGAAATGACTTTATAGCTTTGCTGGGCTACTTTTAGGAAATAATAGTTTTAAATTAACAAACATTAGACATCAGTTGAATTCATAAAATGGATTGTAATGTTATTCTTGAGAAAATGAGAGGGCTAGGAATACATAGATGAATTAAATGAGTTTAATGAACTTGAAAATAAAAGAGGATCTTTGTCTTGAATTAAAGGACCATGTATTACTGTAGGGTTGTTGGAAATATTTCCTGGCTAAACAAGAGGAGACTTTTGACTGTCTTGAAGTGGGGATGGTAGGGGAATCTTAATTTTGGGAAGAGCTGCTCTTAGTAGAAAATAACTATGGGAAAGGTACTTCTTTACTGTAGGACAGTGATTTTCAACCAGTGTGCTGCAAGAATTTTTAAAGCATGCAATACCTAACTATTTAGTCAGGGGTACTAACCTCCTTTCCCTTAGGCCAGTGGTTCTCAACCTTCTGGCCCTTTAAATACAGTTCCTCATGTTGTGACCCAACCATAAAGTTATTTTCGTTGCTACTTCATAACTGTAATGTTGCTACTGTTATGAATTGTAATGTAAATATCTGATATGCAGGATGGTCTTAGGCGACCCCTGTGAAAGGGTCGTTCAACCGCCAAAGGGGTCGCGACCCACAGGTTGAGAACCGCTGCATATTTAAAGATGACAACAGCCAATACAACAATAGCCTTGTAGAATGAATGAATCAAAATTATACCTATTGTTTTTACATGTCAAATCAGGGAAAATACATATTTTTTGGTGTGCCGCAGAACTTTAGTAAATAGTTTACGTGTGCCATGAGATGAAAATGGTTGAAAATGGCTGCTGTGGGAGACAGTATAAGCTCCCTATGAAGATAAGGATCACATCTGTTTTCCTCATGATAGTCCCAGCGTCTAGCACTTGGGCACTTGAGTGTGAATAATCATAAGAGTGCTAATTGTTGAATTGTCATGGGGAGATAGTTATTACATGCTAGTAAAGCATTAAGTAAGGGGATTTGACATCTTTTTTCCAGACATGCTGTATTGGCAGATGTCATTTTTTTAAGAATTGTAGTCAATCAGTTAAGAATGTCAGATTTTGGAGTTGGATATTTTAGAAATGGGAGGCAGAGTAGATAAGCTACGTTGACAGAATCTGCAGAGGGACTACCTTCAAGAGGTTTTCTGGAAAATAATGGGGCACGTTTAGGAAATAACTTACCAAATAATGGTTAACATTCATTTATTCATACAGTAAACATTTATGTTTACCTACCTTGCCTTGGGCCCAGCTTTCTGATAGGCCACTTAAACTGTAAGTGTGTGAGGGCAAGAACCATGATTGACTTGTTTTAACCATTAGTTCAGTACATATTTGTGTAATATTTTCACGTGTTTTACTTACCTATAGAATAAATGGATGATAGAAAGTTCCTGCCTAATAGTAAAAAGAGACAGACACATAATTATAATATTTTGAAAAATACGGTATGAAAGGCATACTGTATATTTTAATTTGTGTCTTAGCCCTTAACTCTAGGAATCAGATTCTTTGAGTTCTGTTCTTTTTGTCATGTATTTTTAGAATGCTATGTAATATTTTGTCTGTGGAAGTAGGTGAGTTAGGGATATACTTCAAAAATATTTCAAATGAACCTGATTCATAGTATCCCCAAAAGATTTGAAATTAAAATCTGTTTTATTTGGAGAAGTAATATTACAAAATGTTAAAACAGTTATTTTGAATGAAATATATTTTCCAGTCATGGTGATAACTTAGAAAAGAACAACTTTCAGCATTCAACCCATTTCTAATAAATTATAATAAAGAAATCATCCCCCCTGTTATATAGCAAAATAAAATTTAAACTCCAGGATAGACTTGTTCTATTTTAAGAGTTCTTCTGTATTTATGATATTCTATTATATATAGGAATTTTCTCTTGATTAAAACGTGTAACATGTTTGGCTGCTAAATTTTTTCAAAACTTTAGGAGCATCTATTGATAAAACCACATGGTTTCTCTCCTTAAATACTGAGTAATTCACAGACTTTCATTATTGCTATTAGCCTATCTTTTTTGGGGGGGGGGGGGGCTAAACCCAGTTAGTCACTGTGTGTTATTCTTTTAATTCCAAACTTAATTTTGTTTAAGATTATTCTGACTATTCAAAAGTAAGGTTGGGCTATAGTTTTATGTGCTGTCTTTAACAGATTTGGTAATAGAATCGCTATTTTTAATTCACTATTTCCTCAATTTACAGGTCGTGGTTCAATTTCAGAATTCTTCCATATTATGAAGAGAAAGTTTACGAATAAAGAATGGGAAACAATCAAGAGCTTTAAGGATGAATGGACTCAGCTGGATATGTTTTATAGGAATTGGGTATAATCTCTTTCTAATTTTCAGAGTTAATGACTGAAATTATTTCATTATCTTTGCAAAAAATAGCAGAAAATTTTAGGTTATTACTTGGGAACTTGATTCTTATATGTGCAGTATTACATTATAATGACATTTAAGAAAATATTTAATGTTCAATTAGAAGGTTTACTTTTGGAGCTAAAACAAGGCATTTTATTTATCACTTTTTAGAATTGTTTTCTGTCCTAAAGGAACTCATACAGATGAGGCTTTATTTAATAAACACTTATATGAAATTTACTATATGCTGGAAGACATTAAGTGTTTTATAAGTTAGCTAATTTAATTGTTATGAAAGACCTATGAGGACAAGTGCTATTATTGTTGCATGTTACACATGAGAAAGTGGAGGTACAGTGAACTGAAATGATTTGCCTTAAGATTATACAGCTGGTTTGTCTCCAGGCCTACTTTACTGCATCCAGTAAAAGGTCCAGATGTTTGGGGCCTGTAGAGTTGATGAAAAATTTTATATATTAAAAGTTCTCAGAGAAAATGTTTTCTGTATCTTAGGCACTGAAAGAAAGCTTCATAAAAGCCATAGGTGTTGGACTCGGATTTGAATTGCAACGGCTTGAATTTGATATGTCCCCATTAAACCTGGACTTAGGTCAGGTTTATAAAGAAACACGTTTGTTTCTGGATGGAAAAGAAGAAAAAGAATGGGCTTTTGAGGTAAGAAATTGACCAGATTGCTGTAACTGTAAGGACTTGCTAATTTTGTGCATTTGTGTGAGATTAATTTGGGGAGGCTAGTCATTGGAACGAAACATAGCTGGAATCGAATCCTGGTGCTCTGAAGGTGAAGTCAGGGAAACAAGCTGATACTGGAGAGATTAGTCAGAGAGTTAAGTAAAATGAGCAGGGAAAGAGGCCCTGAATGGAAACAGCTCTGTGTGTATGCACAGCCAAAGAAGCCATGCTGAGGGGCTTCCATGTTAGATTGGTAACATCATACAGGGCATTATGGATCAGATTGAAGATTTTTTCTTTCTGTAATTGATTCTTAGTTGCCAGGGGAGAAACTCATTTCATCCAGAAAGATACTATATAGGCTAGTAGAGTGTTTCATGTAACTGGGCTTCAGGATTCACTAGAATTAGGGACTGGAAAACTCGGAACTCGTTTCTATTTTACTTTTGCCTTTCCATATATCCTGGCTTCAGTTTTCTCCCACCGTTGTTTCTCATTTTGTACATCGGCTTTCTTAACTTGTGGTTTGTGTAGCAGGAATGACTGCCTACCACTCTTACGTGTAACAATTTGCAGGTTAAAACCCCACAGAGATTGGTGAGCTCCCTTTCTGTTCCAAGTCCTAAGAGTCCTGGAGAAGGGACTCCCTGACCTAGGTTGGATCTGAGGCTTATCTTCTGACTAGTCACTGTAGCCAAGGAAGTGGTCTACTGTGATTGGTCCAGCTGTTCAGAGCCCAGCAAATGGGTTCAATACTAACGTGCTTATTGCTGCAGTAATCATCTGAATTGTGTTCAGAGTATGTCGGTGCCCAGAATATAAAGAATTAGTGATGAGTAGATAAAATGAGAGGTGTTCACCAATTTTCTCAAAAGAATTTAACAAGTGTTAGTAGAGAGTGATAAGATCAGATTTGTATTTTAAGACCGAGTTCTGTCTGGGTGGAGGTTAATGAAGTGAGATGTCAAAGATATTATGATCAATTCTGTGACTTATATAGGACCTTCTATTGAAAAAATGAATACTAGAGAACAAGTCGATAAAATTTGAGATGCCATAGAAACACCCAAGTGAAGGTGTCGGTGAATAGAGTGAAAGGCTGGGCTAGAGGTAAAACTCATACTCATTGACATGTGCATGGTAGTTGAAGCCATGGGGTTTAAGTTACCGCTGTGAGGTTACCTAAATTTGAAGAGAGGAAGGCCCCCGGACAGCATCCTGAGAGTACTGATAATTAAAGGTGGAGTGGAGGAGACAAAAAGAATGACAAAAATAGTTAGAAATAAAACGAGAGTAGTGTTAGGGGATCCAAGGCGGGTAGAAAGTATTTTGAGAGTGAGAGTTGGGTTAAAACTGCTAACATATTAAGGTAGGGATTTTATCAGTTAAAGACGACATTATATTTAGGATATTTTAAGTGTACAATTTTAAAAATTGTAACCAAAATTATGTAAAAACCTTGAGTACTTACAAGGTTAAACCTTAGCCATTTCACTCATGGGGAATCCTCTATTCTCAGTGGTGCCCGAGAGAGTAGGCCTAGTAGCAAGGTGAGGAGGGAAGAGTCAGTGACTGGGCCAGATGTGCTTTACGTTTTTGGGTGGTAAAGATGTCTGAGTTCCTCAGGACCAAATAGATGCTGTGGAAAATGGTGGCCACTGGGCCTGAAGTGTCTAGAAAGGACCGCACTCAAAGGGAACTCCAAAGGAAGAGGCAGTGGGCAGTCTACTAGTTGCTGAGGGCAGGAATTGTCTTGAATACACTGCTAGCTCTAAGGCAGTGTACAGGGAGCGCTAAAGAACTGAAAGTGGGTCACTGAAAATACCACAGGTGCCCACCGGGTGAGATAAGCTAGCCTTCGATACTTCATATGGTTCTAAACACTGTGTTAAACAGCATCGGTCATTACTCTGCCCCTTTCCTGTAGTACCATTCCTTTATGTCCCCCACCTTAAGGAAACCAAAGTGGAAAAGGAAGAATGAAGAGCAAGGTGAGGCCAAGGGGGAAGATTGTGCATTTGTTCTAGGAGTGAAATGGGTTTTTTTAAGTGAAAGTGACTAAAGAGCTTGTCCAGGAGCTGGGAAGGGAGGATCCATCAGGGTACATTTGAACGCAGCCATGGAAGAGTAATGAAGTTCTTCACCCAATGTCCCTGAGTGTTTTGTTAGTTCAGTGTACCAGTTACCAAAGTAAGGAAGCCATGTGTATTAGATGCAGACACTATAGAACTGCTGATCTAAGTGGTTTTCCAAAAGTAATTTTGCAGCCAGAACATCTCTGTATGTTACAATGTTCACATTATTAATATATTTAGTGTAAAGAATGGGAGGACAACCATGCGTTAAAAAGAATAGTTTGGTTTATAGTAAATATTGTGAGCTTTTTTCAGCTAAAGTGAAAATAACTTTAAAATATCAAACCTTTTCTAATACTTAACTGGTTATATATTTTTCCTCTTTAAATGTTTTTTCCTAAATTAATTCTTTTTGAATTTTAGGTTTTATTAATTTGGATATCTTAAAATACAAAGATAAGAAAAACAGGGTAAAGGATATAAAGTCCCTAAGTAATTCAGTTTCTAATTGTAGTTTGCTTTAGTAAAGTGGCTTTTTAGTGAAAATTTTGTTTCGTATTTTTGTTTACTTTTTAAAAATTTTATTGATTTTTAGAGACAGAGGAAGGGAGAGGGGGAGAGAAACATTAATGTTTGAGAGAATTGATTGGCTGCCTCCTGCACGCCCCCTACTGGGGATGGAGCTTGTAACCTGGGCATATGCCCCTACCAGGAATCGAATCAGTCACCTCCTGGTTCATAGGTTGATGCTTAACCACTGAGCCACACCGACTGGGCAAAAGTTGAATATTCTTTGTCTATAAATTCCACTATGATTTTCCATAGTATGTAGTTAACTACATGTTTATACACAAGTGTTACAACCTGATTTTTTTTAAATGTTAATTTTAAGCATGTACAAAATTAGCATCACCAATTAGGGCAGAGGGTTCTCTAGTGGTACCTAGATAGGACACTTCATCTATGTAGTACTCTGGTTTAGAATGTATTATTTAAATCATTAAGAAATAGCAAATGCCAAATGAATAGTGTTCTATCAGTAAAAAGGGGAGAATGGGGCTTGTATTTTAAAATATTGTCGAAAGAAAGGTTAGCAAGACATAGCAACTGAATGCAAAATTAATCCTAGACTACCTCCTGTACTTGAGTCGGAAGAATGCTATAAAAGACATTATTGGATTAGTTCAAAAATTTGTAATACAGGTGGTAGATTCAAGTACTACTTCCATGTTACATTAACCAAAGGTATTAACTGCTATGGTTATGTGAGAGAATATTCCTATTAGAAAATACATATTGAAATATTTCAGACTAAAGGGTCAAAATGTATTTGACTTCTCCTTAAATGTTTGGGGGAAGTGAGGGAAAATGTGTGAGTGTGTGTGGTGTGTGTGTATAGAGAAAGAGAGGTTGAGATTTTAAAGTTGTAAACAAAAGTATATCTAAGTTTACATATTTAGTAATCTGTATTTTTTACTTACTTTTTCTTTTTTATTAGGAAAGCAAAATAGATGAACACCATTTTGTTGCAGTAGCTCTTAGGAAACCCGATGGATCTAGACATCAAGATGTAAGATTTTAAGATTTCTCTGACTTCGAGTTTAAAAGCATGAATCAATTTTGAGTTTTTTCTTTATTAGTAGAAATAATCATTTGGTTTACCTCAGCTTTAGAGGGATTTTTTTTGTTTGTTTATTTTTAGATGATAAATTTAGACGTGTTTTTTGTTATCAAATCCTTAAGATCATCTGAGATTTTACAGAACATTTTAAGAAGGTAGTTAAATGGTCAGCCTGGACCTAGAAACCAGGTCTTCTGAATAGTATTCTGTTCTTTTCACAACCTTAGTCATCTTAACAATAGTTTATTTCCCGGTGAATATCTTGAAGATAAAGATACCCAGCTGACAGGTGGTGAGTAATGGAATTATTTGGCAAATTGAACCCCTTCTCCTTTTTGTAGTACTGTCCTCAATTATTCCCAAGTTATACTATCAAACATGTGAGAATCCTTGTGTCATATTGTGGCATAACGTGGTCTCAATTCTTCCTGTTACAGTTTGTAAACTTCTGTTAATTGGTAAGTAGAGAAAGTTAAAAAAAAAAAAAAAAAGAACACACTTAGGGCTTAGCCTATATATAGTTGTGATCCTGCAGTAGTATTTATGTAAGGACTATTGGTCATATTATAATAATTGAAACTACATGCATATCATTTTTAACGAATCCATGTGAGAGAATGTGGCGTGATCAATACACACACAAACACACACCCTTATCTCCAGAAAAGTAGTTCAGTCCACAGACCGTGCCTTAGATAGATTAACAAAGGATTAAAATTCCTCATAGATTATCTTCCTTAAAAGGGGGTGGCATATTAAAATTGACCACTGTTATCTGAAGATGTTCTGACCAAGTTTACCTGTCCTTGTTACCTACCCTATTTTACCTCAGCTCTGCACTCTCTCTGAGTAGCATATATTTCCATAAAGCTTTATATTTTTTGTAACATTTACACACGTGGTACTTCCTTTTTATTTCACTGGAGAGAGTCTATTTAGGCAGCAGCATTGACATAGTGGGAAAAGGACGAGAATACTATTCAGAAGACCTGGGTTCTAGGCCCAGGCTGACTGTTTAAACCTGTGTGGTGAGCTTGGGCAAAGTTGATCTTCCGAAGCCTCAATTCTCCATCTATAAAATATGATAACAACCATATCAGCAAATAGGTACTGACCTTGTTAAAACACTATATGATATCCAAGTATTATCTTTACTAGAATGTATAGAATGTTAAAAGAGGTCTCTATGGGGTTCAGTTGTAAACAAGGGCCTATCTCATAGAATAAGAAAAGGGGCCCTATCTTACAGAATAAGATATAGTTTTAGTGTTGATGAATCATTTCCTAAAGAAGTTTTGCATCTCTGTGGTTATGGGTCTAGAGCAGTGATGGCGAACCTATGACATGCGTGTCAGAGGTGACACGAGAACTCATTTTTTTGGGTTGATTTTTCTTTGTTAAATGGCATTTAAATGTATAAAATAAATATCAAAAATATAAATCTTTGTTTTACTATGGTTGCAAATACCAAAAAGTTTCTATATGTGACACGGCACCAGGGTTAAGTTAGGGTTTTTCAAAATGCTGACACGCCGAGCTCAAAAGGTTCGCCATCACTGGTCTAGAGTATTTCTCCAAAGTTTGCCTGGTGGCCCCCAACCTCTATCAGTATAATCCACCTTCTTGTTATATATTTTGGGATCCCTTTTAACTTATCTCCTGAATTAGAATTTTTGGATGTGTGACTCAGTAAGTCGACATTTTAAACAAATATCACAGGTTATTGCTATGTACAAGAAGTGTGAGAATCGGGTTATTTCATATTTTTCTGAATTTGCTATATTGGCAATATATAAAGATTAAAAAACAATTAAAAATCCTGTGTTGTACTTTAATATTACTGAAATGTAATTTGGTCTTATTTGTTTTTTTCCTAATTATAAAGTTGATCATAAGATTAACATGCAGTGTAACAGTCAGGTAATCTATTTTTTCCCTTTTAGGCTTCATCACAAGATGATTCTAAACCATCCCAGAGGCAGTTTACAATTCTTACCTATAATGATTTAATCTCATCTGCTGTTCCTATGACCCCTGAAGATCCTTCATTTTGGGACTGTTTTTGCTTCACAGAAGAAATTCTGATACGAAATGGTACAACGTCATGATATGACAAGTAACAAAGGGAAGTGAAAGCTGTTTGTAATATTCTGTATTCACTAAAAAATAAATGCCTGATACTATTATACTATTAAATTTTATTTCACGAAACAGTTTGAAAAAGAAAAACAACTTTTCCTATTAGAAAGCTTACTCCCAGTTTAAAATAGCTTAGCAGAATACAAGTTTACCTTTTCTCCCGCCCAAGAATCTCATGAATTGACAGAAGAAATAGAAAAGGGAGGCAGAATTTTGGGTGACACAGGCACCCCTTGGTTCACTGCACTTTGCTTTATTGTGCTTCACGGGTGTTGCGTTTTTACAAATGGTTAGCAAGACCCTCCACCAGCAAAACGATGACTATGGTAATCGGGGACTGAATCTGTAATACCTGAAGCATGCCTATACATGCTTATTGTAGAAAAACAAAATGCAAATTTGCAATAAGGAAACATTTAAATTCCTGTCTTTCAGACATAACTATATCAGAGGTAACTATTTCTAAATCCTTTTATTGTCAAATGAGTCTATATTAATGTATTTGTTTTTTAATAAAAAAATGGGAACATACTATTTTTTTTTTCTTAACTGCACATCTACTGTTCATAAAAACTTCCATGGCAAAACTTTTCCTGGCTCTAAAGTATTCTATTGAATGGCTAATATCAGTTAGGGTGCTTTGACCAGAGATAATAGTATCCAAATATAATTGAGATAATAAATGTTATCATACATTCATTATCTCATACAATACACAGTTGAGAGGGGTCATTAGAGAGACTTTTTTTGCCTCAGCCTCAGTTTATTTTGCCTTAGACTTGTTTCATGCTTATGATAGCTGCTGTGCTATACCTCCCATCTTCACGTCATAAGATTGCATCTAAAAATAGGGAAGGCTGTTTCTCTTCTCACCTCTCAGTTTTGTTAGTGAGGAGTACATTTCCCATGAGTCCCCAGAAGATTCCCCCTCAGTTTCCCTGGACTCAGATCAGATCACTGAGAAAGCCAATGTGGACTCTGGGAAGCAGACTTGGTAAAGAAGACGCTGAAGTGAGGGGGAGAATGGCATCCAGGGAAAGCCACTGCCTGTGGTAGGGGGTGTACCACAATTGACTCATTTTGTCCTCCATTAGACATTTGATTTACTGTAAACAGTGGTGCAGTGAATATCCTTGTAAATACATTTTGAGATATGTGCTTATGTCCTTGAGAAAGTTTCTGGAAGTGGAATGATTGGCTCAAAGGGTTTAAACTTTTTTAGAGCTTTGATAAAAATTGCCAAATTGCTCTCCAAAACTGTAGTGCAACTTGCACTTCAAGTTAGTTTTAAATGTGTGACCCCCCCTTCCACCCTCCACCTGCATACTCCCTGGTAAACTCTAGATTTTTTTAAAATTCAATCTTTGTCAATATGAGTAGAAAATGGTACCTTATTTTTTAAATTTCTATTTCTTTTCATTACAAATAAGATTGGTATGTCAGTGTTGTTATTGGCTGTTTGTATTCCTTCTTTAATGAACTGCCTGTTCATTGTCTTTGCCTGTTTTCGTTTTAGTAAATAGTACTTAATTTAAAGTGGGAACATAATATATAAAATGCCAAGCCCATCATATTGATGACAGATCTATGATATGGTTGTAGTGCATGCCTTGGGGAGTTAGTCTTGTTGTTGCTTAATATCAAGAAGTGAAATAAGTTTATTGTTTCCATTACTAAAATTGAAAGTTGTGTGAAATTAGATGCTTTGCTTAGTAAAAAAATTTGGAATGTTTTATAATATTTTATTAAGCATGCCCAAACAGTCCAAGAATAGTAAAATAACTTGTTTTAAATGGATCAAATGGCATTTATAATATGAGAAATGGCATCATTATCCTTAGCATGAATGTAATGGTAATATGAAAAACTGTCATCTGTCTTGTTATTATAATAATAAAATGATTAACATTGAATTTTTATGAGCCAGATTTTGTGCTAGATTTTGTTTTTGTTTTTTTCTGTTCTTTCTGAATCAAAGCGGCACATTACACATACTTTAAAGCAGTGGTTCTCAACCTTCTGGCCCTTTAAATACAGTTCCTCATGTTGTGACCCAACCATAAAATTATTTTCGTTGCTACTTCATAACTGTAATGTTGCTACTGTTATGAATCGTAATGTAAATATCTGATATGCAGAATGGTCTTACGCGACCCTTGTGAAAGGGTCATTCGACCCCCAAAGGGGTCGCGACCCACAGGTTGAGAACCATTGCTTTAAAGAATCAAATCTACAATTTTTCTTTTCCTAAATGAAAAACACCACTACCTTGACCTCTTCCATTCCTGTCTCCAGAGCAAGTTCTTTCAACTCTTTTAGCTGATTTTTGTTATTTATAACCATATCTCCAAATAACATTCATATCCTAATATAAAGCATTGCTATTCTTCTTCCCAACCATCACATGTTTCCTTCCTTGCTCCTTTTCCCCAGCATAATTATTGTAGTTCAGTGTTTAACTGAATTAAGAATGTTTATGTTATTAAGATTAGCTAATGCTCTGCACAGCTGAATGTATTATTCTCACCCCCCATATTGCATTTTTTTTATTTTACTTTTTTCTCTGTCCCTTTGAAATGTAAGTAAATACATTTTTTTTTATTTTAAAATTTTTATTGGGTTAACATTGGTTAATAAAATTATATAGGTTTCAGGTGTACAGTTCTATAATACATCATCTGTACATTGTCTTGTGTGTTCACTACCCAAAGTCAAGTCTCCCTCCTTCCATCATCGTTTACCCTCCTCGTTTACCACTTCTACCTCTCCCTACACTCCTTTCCCTCTGGTAATCACAGTACTGTTGTCTGTGTCTGATTGTTTTTTTGTTTGTTTTTTGCTTAATCCCTTCACCTTTTTTACCAGCCCCCTTATACTGCATATTTATTTCCTTGAGTTAATAGTTGACTTTGTTTGCAGAGGTTTCCATGTACTTACTGCTAATTTAACCCCAAACTCTAGTAGATGTATGAATACTTTTTTCATATGTTCAGACTATCATTTGTTCATCATTTTCATCTATCTTCTTGAAGAAATTGTTCCTGTTTTGTCCCGTTTGGACTTCTTGCCTCCTGTGGCTGGTACACAGCTGTCATAATTTCTTTTCATCATCATCCCAGGGTTGGGATTCCCTGACTTCTCACTTCCTGTATCTCATGTCTGTCAGATTTACTTCATTTGTGTGTGATGTGAGTGCTGCATCCATTTGCGGCTAGGGTTCAGGATCTGGAAAAGGGGCCGCACACAAACAAATACACTAGACAAGAAATAAGAATTTAGAAGGCATCAGGGCCAGGCAGAAACCTTCCCTCTAGTGGAGAGGCTCCCTGAAGCCCTGGCTCTGTTGGCTTTTATTCAATTTTATAATACACATCTTGCCCTTAGTTAGGCAGGCAATCCGGTAGCAGACAGACTATCTTAAAGGTCAGTAAATATTAGTAAAAGTTTACTTTGAGACTATTAGGTCAGGAAATTGCTGGAGCCACCATTATCTCCACAGAACAATCACTGCATAGCTTTAGCCCTTGCTAAAGCTCAAGGTCCGTCAGCCTTCCAAGTTCCCTGTTGCACTTTCATGATAGTGTTGACAATGGATAGCTTCCAGCAGTGTATCATATCCTTGAGTAACTTCCTGAGAACAAAGAGGACATGGGAGATATTTTTGAGACCATAGGACAGCTTCGTTTTGATGTGTCCAAAACTATTCCTTGTATTGTACCACGTTACCCAGAGTATAGTATTGGTGTCTATTAAAGTTTCCTGCATAGGAACTCTGATGAACTGATTTTAAAAATCTGTGGCCTGGCCCATGTGGCTCAGTTGTTGAGCATCGACCCAGGAACCAAGAGATGGAGGTTCAATTCCCCGTCAGGGCACATACCCAGGTTGCAGTCTCAATCTCCAGAAGGGGGCATGGAGAAGACAGCTGATCAATGATGTTTCTTTCTCACTGGTGTTTCTCTCTCTATCCCTCTCCCTTCCTCTTTCTAAAAAAGAAATCAATAAAAACATATAAATAGAATGGGTCTGTGTATGTGTACATACCTTTTTTGCTTTTGAAATTCAGGAATTAAATAGATTTGGATAAATTTTCTAAAAATTAGCATCATTCTTGATTCTCCCCTTTTTTATTTTAAAATATATTTATTGATTTCAGAAAGGAAAGAAGAGGGAGAGAGAAACATCAATGATGAGAGAGATTCATTGATTGGCTGCCTCCTGCATGCCCACGTGTAGGGATCAAGGCTGCAGCCCATGCTTGTGCCCTGACCAGGAATCGAACAGCTGTCTTCCTTTGTAAGTGCTTCACATGCATCAAGCTATTCAGTCCTCATAAGCTTATAGAGCAGGTTCTGTTTTCCCCATTTGGCAGGTGGGGAAAATAAGGTCTTGAGATATTAAGCAACTTGCTATATATCATACGTCATTGAATAGGGGACTTGATTCTGAAACCATACAGCCTCCATCCAGGGCCCTAACCATACTAAATTCAATGGTATGCTGGCAGAATTAACGAGGAGCATCCTGGGGCAGGGATGACGAGGTCTGGGAGCCTTTATTTATGGCTTTTGCTGACTTCAGAGTAATGCCACACTTGTAACCAGCACCTGGTTTAACATAATGATGTTTTTGCCATACTTGTTTGAAAAATTTCCCCCCTCAGATGCAGTTAAAGACCTCCCACCCCCAGTAGCCTCTCCTTCTCTTTCCAGGAGTAACCAACCTATCACTTGTCGTGTGCATATAATGTGTGCATCGCCGGTGGGTAGTGTTATGTCCTATATTTCTATTAGGATTGAAACATCAAAATGGGGATTTTTGTCACTTCAAAGTGGCAGTGGTATCAATAATGAGCTCATTTAAACCCAAACTTCTCAAGCATTTAGCAGTTAGTCACTATGGCCTTGGTGGGGATAACATTGTTTTGAGGTGTTTTGTTTATTTTTTTGTAAGAGAAAATTTATTGGGTAAATCACAGAGGTAGAAGTAATTCCTTTGAGGTGGTTGGTTTGGACTGCCAGGGTATACACACAGAAGAAAAGTAAATTGAAAGCAAGGGTGAAACTTCACGAAACTTACAGCAACTCATAGGGGAGGATCTTATCTTCTGTAGCTGACAGAAGCAACTCCTCTCTGAGGGAACCCGTCTTACCCTTACACCCTCAAGAAACAGTGTCAATGACTGCACCTGAGACTGTTCTCTCATAAGGGAATATCAGTTCTCAGATCCATATCTTCCGTCCATCTTTACTTGCTAGAAAAGAATAAGTTAGCCCTGGCCAGGTGGCTCAGTTGGAGCACCTTTCTGTTCAACAAAAGGTTGTGGGTTTTGATTGCTGCTCAGGGCACATACCTATGTTGGGGGTTTGATCCCAGGTTGGGGTTTCTCACATCGATGTTCCTCTCCTTTAATCTCTAAAAAATCAATGAAAACATATCCTCAGATTAGGATTAAAAAAATAAAATGATAATAAATTAGATGTCAGTGTATCCCAAACAGAAGTAGAAGATCAGATCAAAGGGAAGGCATTCACGCAGAAGAGTTGCAGGATATTATCACTTTGCATTGGTAGGAGTTTGGGGAATAACTAGGAATGAATTCTAAGGGTATTAAACCCAAAATGATGAATAAGATAGGCCAGACACATTGATACGGGTGTACTCACAGGCAACACGATTCCATGTGTTGGCTTGGGAACCTGGGTGTGGAGATAACAATGACTCAATGGCTGCCTACAGTCAACTGGTTTGAAATGTCAGAACTTTCCTGGCATCCTATAAAGGGCAAAGTCCTAGGGAGACAGGAATGGGTCTGTTCTGTGCAAACCAAGCTCAGTGGCTTACAAAAACAAATGTATTCTCTCACAGGTCTGAAGGCCAGAAGCAAATTCATTTCACTGGGCTGAGATGAAGGTGTCAGCAGGGCTGTACTCCCTCTGGAGGCTCTAGCATCTAGCACTCTGTTCTTCGCCTCTTCTGGTGGCTGCCTTCATCCCCTGGCTTTTGTTCGCATCACTCCAATCTTTGTCTTCATGGACACCTTGCCTCCTTTTTGCTTGTGTCTAATCTCCCTCTGAGATGTTTGTGAATACATTTAGGGCCCACTCAGATCTCTACCTAAATCACATCTTTGCTCTCTCTTGCCATAAAGGTAAATTCACAGATTCCAGGGATTAGGACTTGATATCTTGGGGGGCCATTAATTAGGCTACTACAGTATGTCCAACAGGTCAGTGGTTAAACAAACTGGTACATCCATACCCTGGGGCACTAACTCAGCAACCTGGACCTACAACCTGGGTAGGTCTCCAGAGAATTATGCTGAGTGAGAAAAGGCCAATCCTAAAAGGTTATGTACTGTATGCTTCTATTTATATAACATCCTTAAGATGATAACATTATAGGAATGGAGAGCAGATTCGTGATTGCCAGGAGTTAAGGCGAGAGAGATGGGGCAAAAAGGAGGCGGGTATGGCTGTGGGACAACATGAGGGATCCTGTGGAGATGCTCATGTCATGTATCTTGACTGATCAAAATCCTGATTGTTGATACTGTTCTACAGTTTTTCGTGCAAAGGGTAGAATAGCTCCAGTATTTTATAGCTGTGTGTGAATTTACAATTATGTCAAAGAGCTTAATTAGAAACCTCCTTTCTTCTTGAAATAATGAGTGGTTTCTGTTTTCCTGACTGAATCCAGACTGACATAACCCCCAGCTCCTACTGCCTCAAATTAATAATCTCCCACCAGTGTTTGCCCATGTCAGTCACTGGGAGCTCATGATTCTCGGTTCATCCCTGAGAAGGTTGGCGGCTGTCCCCATCTGTTTCCATCTGTCACCCCTCACCATCTACTGAAACCCTTTTACAGTGCCCTTGGGAATGCAAGATCAGTCATTAGCTACAGCCTCTTTATCCTCCACCT